TGAGTGTCGTGCCCACGGCCCCCGGTATGCACCGTGCAGCGATCGTCGACCTTTTTAACAAAGTAGTTTTTTAAGGAAAGTCTGGTAATAACGTACAAACCGATTTTTGAATGGCCTTTCGTCTGGTTAGGGATAAGGCAAAATGCTCTTTCATTTTCCCGACTTAAAACACCCTCACCCAAGAATATTTCATTTAGGGTCAGTTTCTCTGCACAACCAGTGATAAGTTCTGCCAAGTAAGCCCAAGTATGACCGACCACATAAGAGAGAAAGAGCCTGGGTGGAAATAGCTCTCCAATGTGTGGAGTAACACCCTCAGAGAGGTGGAGAAGAAAGCAGTTACCCCTCTATTGTGGAGGACGCGGTGAATTGACGTAAATCAAGTTATGAAGAGTTATGGTTGGTTTAATAAATCCGAGATTCTACACTTAAACTTTACGATCTACGACCATGAAATTTCTTGTTCTTCAAAAAAAAAAACGAAGACCAAAATTAATGCAAAAGTTAAAACAACATAAAGATTACGGCACCTTAAGATAAACTACATGTTGGTAAATGATACAAAGAGATACAAGGAAATTTTGAAGGAACGTGCACCGTATAAACTGAAGCTTGTAAAGGCATGCCTACAGTAGGTTTGATAGTTCTTTTTACATTCAATTGTTTACACATATGCCTGTAGTCCTCGCATAATTCTTCGATCATCATCATCTTCACGACTGTACGCTGACTGCATATTGTTCTGCAAGCTGATCAAAATTTTTCTCCTACAGAGGAGAAAGAGACAAAAAATAAAAGGTTAGGCTAAATTTTGAATGAAAATTGAGCAAGAATCAGTTTGTAAAAAAAAAAAAAACTTTCTTTAAAAGATTGGTTGCTATTCCTTCCTTGTGGTAACCATGGAGCCCGTTTGAACTTGTGATGGTGCAAATTATGTGAATTTCAGGTACAATACTAGGATGGATATAATTTATGTACACTTTATGTTCTATTATTATTTTTACTCCAGCTGCTAAATTTAACAAAAAAAAACTTAAGTGAAATACCTTTGCCAGGAGGTCTTTTGTAAAAGGATGACTTGGATGCCCATCCTTTAACTGTGAAATATATCTTGTTGTTACCTAGAAGATGCACATAAAAAGAGAGAGAGAGAAAAAAAAAGCCTCAGCATTTGCTTCACATGTACTGTGAATGCAAAAGTAAAAATTTCTGCATTTATCTCTTCGAGTTATTTCAAACATAATCATGAATATCCAGCACAGAATGACATGTATGCATACCTCAGGAGCTTTTCCTAGATGCTGAGATAAAACCACCATGTTGATGAGAGTTTCCGGATTACTGCTATCCTGTACAGAAAAAAGGAATCCACATCTAAAAATGCGCTTCTTTAATACAGAAATTGTGTTTCGTGTGTGAGGTAGCGGCAAAGATAGGAGGTGGGGAGCAGGGGGGGGAAGGAAGTTACATGATTGTACATGTATTCCAATTGTAATAAAACTTAATTCTAAACTGAATCCAATTTTACCAAACAAACTGCCCACTCACAAAAACATTTGATTTCAATTAACTCTTTAACCCCTAAGAGTGACCAGTATCTAATTTCTCCTAACAATATCCCCCCTGAATCAAACATTAAGGTGACAAGAACAAAGGAAATGATCACCAACCACAGAAGCTTTTGATTGTTCAAAAAAATTCTCCTTCTCAACACTTAAGGAGATGTCAAGAGAACACTATGGAGAATATACATACTGATTTCAGGGCCCAATGGGTTAATACTTTTAACTGTGTTTGTCACACAACCTGCAACAGAACTAGCCTTAGATATTTATCCTTTTTATTGTATTAATATTTAAAGGTCTCTGAGGCAACTTTTATTGCTATTTATGATGCCATAACCTTAGAGTATGATTTATATTGAACAAGGCATTATGTATCTCTTACTTTGTCCAGTGCATCTTGCAAACAACTCTCTGCATCTTCAAATTTCCCCATGTGCATGTATGCAATAGCCTGACCATTGAGTAACATGACTGTTGGAGTGTATTTGTCTGAAAGCTCTTGGAAAATGTAGTAGGCATCTTGATATTTCTCTCCTCCCTATGTTAAAGAGAAAAACACCTTCATTGCAAAAATTCACAAGTTTAGTGTTGACTCTAAAGAGTGAAAAGGCAGATTTGAAGACACAAGTTAGAGGGCCTGACATAAAGCAAGAACACATTCTTCCATTCACTTACCACAGCAAGATTGAACCATGCAAGGGAAAGCTGTGTGAGAGTTGCATCATCATCTTGGTCCTGCAGAAGATTTATTTTATATTTTAGTAATGACAAACCCAAGATGACACTCCAAGCTCCTCCAAACCAGTTACAAAAATATTATCCAGACATTACACCAGTGCAGCACATGTAAACTTAAATTACTGGCCCCAAGGCAAAAAAAAATAACCATAAAGAAAACTCACTTGCATTCTTTTAAGTTCTTTCCTTTGAAACAAAATAATCAAAAGATTGGTTAATACACTTTCTTAAGATTTTTCCTTTTAAATTACATTGATGCATTCTAAAACTCAATGATGACCTGCAATTAAAATTCATACTCACTTAGCCAGATCAACTCTATCCATGCTGATGTAAATTTGTACTGAGAGCGCTGAGCTGGAAAAGAAAAAAGAAACAAATTATACAAACATTTGAAGCTGCACACATTTGATATGTTACACACTTTAATGTAATTTTAAGCTAAAATGATTCCAATGGCTAGTGTGTAGGAATGTAGGTGGAACAAAGCAAATTAAAAAAAAAAACAACAAATAAAACTGGTTCAAATTCATTTAGGTTTTGAAATATGTACCCAATGTATAGTCTTAGGAACTTGCCCATTTAACACTACAACAAAAAAGCAGACAAACACTAAAAATTTTTTCCTCACCATTCCAATGATTCAGACTGATGAAGGCATCGTAAAGCTGATTCGAAATTCTAATAAAGAACACAAAAGTATTCCGAATTAGATCAAACACATCTGGATATGCAGATGTTCATGGACAGTCCTTGTAAAACATGTAAAAGTGTGGAATGATATATAAAATATAAATTAATGTAATCATCTCTTTTAGTCCAATATGACCTCATCTTTCAGCATCCATACTTTACATGTATTCAGATTAAAGGTGACAAGACTGGCAGTAATTAACCTTTCTACCCCTTTTAGGGGTGACTAACATCTAAACTCTTCTCACAGTATCACCCCTGAATCAAACATTAAAGTTTTAATAATAAAGGAAATATTGTAATTGCCAACTCAAGAAGCTTGATTGTTGGACAAATTCTCCTAGTACCTGTAAGTACCATAGGGAATGCATAGTGAACAGCATGGCGCACTAACATACTGATGTTAAGCTGCAAAAAGGTTAAAAGCACAAAACAATCTATGAGATCAGTCTGAAGAATTTGACAGAGGATATGTACCTGTTCATTGTAATAGATCGTAGCTGCCATTAACAGATCATAGTCATTGAGATCACTAGAGTTTAACTTCTTTTCAATGGACTTCAGGATTGATTCCCTATATTGAACCAAAGCAAATTGTCAAATAAGTTTGAGTTAATTTGTACCACTGCAGTACCCACTTCTCTGGAGCAAAAAGCGTGCATTAATACCATCATTTTATTCATTATAAAATTGAATTAAAAGCATGCATTTGTAACAATTCTTACATGTAACATAAAGAGTACATACATGTGTTCCTCTACATAACTGAATTTGAGGTCTGTACTGTAAGTTACAGACCAGAAAAATGAAGTTCTATTACTTACAGTATGAACCAAAAAACAGGGTTAGTAAGATATTTGTTATTTTTCTGCATTCAAATAGGAGAGGGGGGGGGGGGGG